GCTATCCTTAAAGTCAATGACATATCTATAGATCCAGATCCTATTGTATATTTGGGTATGTTCAATCAATACCATGTTAATTTAGTTTTGTAATAACTTTATTAAATTAAATCTATTAAAGGCAAGGAGGAAGTCAAAATGGACATAACATTTACGAAAGATGTGCCTGTTGAAAACTTGCAACTTATAGTAAAAGGAACCAAATTAACCCCGTACAAAATGGATGTTCCTTGTATTAAAGACTTTGGATCATGGTATAAAATTTATACTATTTATAGTAAAATTTATTTTAGTATTCTTATGTCTATCTTATCTATATTATATACTATCGTATATAATTTTATACAGTATTTTACAAGTTATTAAATATAAGTAATGTTTGTATGTAATGTGCAGTACATATGATTATTGTGAATATGGGTAAGGATTTGTACGGCATATTCGCACCCATACAGTGTCCCATCACTGCCAACAAGTATACATTAGATCTGAAGGACATGCAGTTGCCTGATGTCGGAGATGTCTATAAGAAAGTTATCGAGGTGAGTCAAACAACATACGAACTCAAAATATGAAACATGGTTTAGAAATAAAAATTTTTATAATAATAATTGTTTTTATTAGAAGAACTTTTTTTTGTATGTGTTCACTCACTTGTCAATTGAATTTATTTATTTATTAACTTTATAAAAGTTATTAAAATTCATATTTAATATTCTGAGTTAAGATATACAGTAATAAAGAGTATGAAAATCAATTAAATTATACAAAAATATCATTTTAGGGAACATTTGAGGCTCAAATCTATGGCTGCCTTTACGGAAAATTTGATATTAAATTACCTTGAACATAACTTTATTATTTTTAAATAAATATTTAATTTCTTATGAGACTTTATATAATTTATTATCAAAATCTATCTTTTTAAATAATAAAATTGATAATACTGTACATTATGTTTTATACAATATACTAAAGTTTTTAATAGCATTACCGTAATAAATATAATGAATCAAGCAAAATGATAAACATACAATACGATTCACTCGTGAATTAGTTAACTTTATGCGTTAGAAATGTACTCTAAAACGGATAATCCAATCCTTATCCTCTCTTCACTGTTTTATAACCCTGGTAAAAATTTTTATTTGGTATAAAAATCTACCATGGTAACTGCGCCATTTGAGTTTACAAAAAAGAGGTTTTCCATTGAAAATAGATTTGGCCATTGAAAATGCACAGTAACAATATTGATCAGTAGATACAACAGTTAAAATTAAATTAATTTGAAGACTGGACTTGAAAGATAATTAAAAATGAGCGAGTATCTATTTCTGGAATTTTTATAATTATTAAATTTATTATTAATAATAATTATTAAATTATAAATTTATGCAAAATTATTTATATTTTTAAAATAAAAATTTAAATTTAATGTAAATAAAAAATTCCTAAAATAGGTACTCGCTCATTTTTAATTATCTTTCAAATCATAAACAGTGAAGAGAGGATAAGGATTGGATTATCCGTTTTAGAGTAAATTTCTAACGCATCAAGTTAACTAATTCCACGGGTATATATGAATTGTTTAATTTATTTTATTTTGTAATAAATACTTGAATTTAAAAATGTAAACTATGGTTATGAAAAATTAAGATATTTCAATATTTAACAATTAAAAAATACCACTGTTTTGACATAACCTTATTATAATATAATATTATAATGTAAATTATAATTTTTAGAAATGTTTGAATGGAATCTTATTTAATATTTAGTTTTGAAATAATATGAATGTGCTTATTGTTACTTTCAATTTATTATTATAATAAATTTAAAGTGACAATGAATTTCATAATTTTCAAAATAATATTAATATGCTTAAAATTATTCCATTAAATATGATATATGCATTGAATTCTGGGTAGAATAATTGTCATTAATATTAGAAACTAAACTACCTATATAAACAATGTTTCAACAATTTGAAATTAAAATTAAAATTCAAAAAATATTGAAATAACTGAATACAAATATCAAGATGATAAAAGTTGTAATTTTAATGTTTTATGTAATAAATGTAATGAATTGCGCGATTAAATGGAGAAATTGTGGTCCAGCTAATTCAATCTTTACATTAACTGATCTATCATGTAATCCGGATCCATTTGTATATAAGGGTAATATTAACAATAATTATGCTTTAACTTTGGTAATACTTTATATATAAATTAATATATTATATCTTTCACGCCGGCTTTAATATAACCCAGTGTATCCAGGGTAATATGGAAATCGTACTCAGCATCCTGAAAACATCCTCGTATCCAATTATGACAATTCCCTGTATGAATGGTTTTGGTTCTTGGTATATTTTGTTATACAAACTATAAATGTGAAAGTAATGTAAATTCATATATAAAATAATAGCACCAAAAATTACGGACAATGCTTTACAAATCCGGCCAATATATTGGACGTCATATTAGCACCGTTTGGTTATCCCATCCCTAAAGGTATGCACTCAGTTGATAAGACGGGTCAGTCGCCCACTGCACCACTTCTATTGGAGAGATTGGTCCAGGTGAGTGTCATATTACTCATACGTTTATTGTTTAGTAATATGTGCTACAATTTAAACAATAATTATCATGTCCTTTAGGGCACATTTGCAGTGAACGCTACTTATATAGATGCTACAACCAAATTTGAGTATGGTAAAATTTGCGCCACAAATGTTACGATAATTATAAATCAACCATATAATGAGTGCCAGTAGACAACAATATACATGCATATAAGATCTTGATCATAAACATTTAAACTTTTGATGTAAACTTGTTTTATTTTCAATGTGGTCAAAACTAGCCTATACCCTATATGATATAATGGATATATGCTAGTTTTGGCCACAATGAGAATAAAACAAGTTTAAACAAGTTTACAGTATATTACATGTTTGTTGAATTTACTTTACAGTATTATTGATTTAAATTTTTAAATGCTTTTATTAGCAAAATTGAGATATATTATAATTATGTAATGAGTCATTACTAATTACTAATGACTACAAATTAATATTGGTTTAAAAAAATTAATATGAATAAGTACTTGCTAATATGCTTTTTAATCTAATAAAAAGTAATTTTAATTTTAATTAAAAACATCTATTGAATTTTAATAATAAATAAAATTATTGTATAATTATTTTTTGCGATAATTATTATTACGAATACAGACTGAACCGAAAGGTTTGTCTTTAAGGACAGGCGGTTCAGCACATGTCGAGCCCTCAAACCTCTTCTTTTGGTCCATATTTCCCGTGACTATAGTCTCGATGTAATCGCAATCACAGATCAGTTTGTTTTCTATACAAAATAATTGACAAATTAATATCTGGAAGGCCAGAATGAGACGTACCTCTGAAAAGTTGCTTTTATTTCTTCTTGAAACATTGCTTTTATGTAAAGTTTGAA